GAAATCTTAGCTGAATACGAGAAACAAAACCCAAACTGTCAGGAAAGAATGGAAGGAAATTCTGTAATCTTTGGAAAGTCGGTCTTCCTTACGCATCCACGACAAAGCCAATTCAAATAACCCTGTTTTTATAAAGCCACTGGGGAGGGGGTCCTTGATCGCCATTTCTATATCATGAGCCAGGAGTGCCTTATTTCAATAGCAAAACTGGCAGCAGCAATGTGACGCGCACAGTCTATATAATCCTGTTCCCTGCCCACTCATCACTTCCTGCCCATTTATCAGTGGTACTCATTTATCTACCTTGGAAGTAAGAAGGGTGAGTGATCCAGACCAGAGCTCGAATCCGGAGCAGTTCAATTCTGAATTTGACGCTCTACCGAACGAATAACGCGTGGCAAATTTTTTGTTCAAGGGAATTCATGGTAAGGACAAATACTCCCCATCGCTGGAATCGAACACGGCACCTTGTGAGCTCGAGCTCGAAGTCGAATTCTTACACGTTGTGCCACTGCGCCACCACGTGCTGCAAACTACTGCAGCGAAAGCATGTTACAGTATGATGTTTTCAAGAAGTACCGGATCAGTACACTCTGCGGTAATACTTACCACCGTAGACAAACTGATGCATTATCTAAAATGATTGATATCAAGATATATCTGCGAAGAAGACTAATTGGTAGAAGTACACTTGACCTGGCAGATCTACTTAACGAGTCGAAATGTCAACTATGAGTTTAAGTAGAATAGAATAAGAAAGAATCTCTCTGCACATAATTCTGCAGTGGACACTGAGAGATCACAAACTTTATAGTCTTAGCAACAAAAATCGCTCTACAAATAAAAGGTCATCTCCAGAATAGAAGAGTAAATCGCAAAAAGTAAATCCCTGCTGCGTTTACGTCAAAGGATGCAAACCTTGGCTAATCGATTGATGGTTACGGAAGGATGACATCTTTTCTGAAACGGGAAGTGATTTATTTTGCCTATTAAAGACCAAACCGAGTTATCGAAGAGAATGGCAACCAAAATCATATTCCCCAGAGGAACTGTCTGGGAAACTGCAGGCTTTGCGGTACTTATCAGAGTCAGTTCAACACCTCACGTTTGTTTATTGATTTTCTGTCATCTTCACCAGGCATCTTTTTGATCCTCAGTCTGTCAGAAAAATTATTTGTTTAGCAGAGAGGAAGCACGATATAAAGATTTCATACTGTCTTCTTCCAAAGCTAACACATGCGGTGGATGTCAATCTTTTCGACAGCTTCTTTACTAGAATAACGTTGAATTATTCATTTTCAAAACCCACATTCCTGGTGGATCATGACGGCATCTACTTCAAGAGGCCTATTTGATAATTTGGGTCTTCACCAATGAACAAGATTTGCATCCCAGTTTCCAAAGTGTGACAATGACACGTCTATTTAATCAAGCCGTAGAAATGAAAAGCACGCGAACTTCATTTGACGTAGAAACTGGCTAAAAACAGCTCAGCCAACTTTGGAAATCATTACTAGTTAGCTATCTGACCGTTTCACGATTCAAAACAGACCTCAGGCTGCTGTAGGGATCAGTAGTAAGCAGAACATATTTCGCCATGTCATATAAGTGTCATAAGTTGTTGGTATGATCGAGAAGGTCACATAATGAATGACAAGTCTGACATCAGATTTCACGGCGTATTCCAACGTCCCTTACTCCCGGTTTCCTAGATAGCATACAAGGTCAAAAACGAGCAACAGCTTCTAAAACATCGTTCGTGATGAGCGGGAGGTGGCTCTAGCGGAAAATTTTTGCAACATGCATCTGGCACTGCAGATGCTGAAATACAATGTAGCCATGGAATGCTTAAATAGTCCCGCTAGGAAACCAGAAAAAACGTAACGGTGCAAATGCTGTGAAATCTAGTCTTGGAAGAGCCATTCATTATTTTCCGCCATGTTTTGCGATCCCATACTTTTCTGACTGTTTCCAACCTAACAAAACAGGAACGCCAGAACTGCATTAAAGAGAGCACTGCTTTTTATAACCCTACTTTATGATATAATTCCCTTATATAATGAGAAATGATGCTCATTGGCGATATCATTTTTGACGTTAAACTCTCTCATTGGTAATGATAATGATCCTCTTATCAGCACCAGTATACCTCGTTGACGCAAACCTATTACAAAATGAAAAATAACAAAATAACATAATTAAAGTATCATACCGTTCTAGACCTGGTTGGGAACACAAGCGGTGAAGTGTTCGTAAACGCCATTCCCTAAAATAGAAAACGCATGGACAAATTAACTGAAAACATTAGAATGTATACTACCAGCAATCCTCTGTCTGAGGCTTGCATCGTGTACCAACCGCAGATACCAAAATGATTTGATCCTTCACTATGAAAAGTCATGATCAACTAACGCAAGTTAAAAAAGTTGAAGTTAAAAAAATAAACTAAATCAGTTTGCCTTACAATTGTCAATTTCTAGTAAAATACCTCTATCGATATTCCCATCTCAGCCTAAACAAAGGTTTTACCACAGAGTTACTAAAGATAAGGACTAAAATTTCACAAATGAATAATCAGGATAATCAGCAGTCTTGGATTCATATTTAAGGTTACTGCCTGCTAGTGGAAAAATAGCGTACAATCACAAGTAACCTGTGTAAGTTTCGCACACATTTTATGAAAGGCCTTAAAATTTCGAGAGATCAGACATTATTATATGACAGAAAAGAGACTATGTTAGACAAGCTAGTTACACATAATCCTTCACAGCTGAGTTTAGATAAAGAGCAATCGGCTCGTAGAAAGAACTCCAAATCGATGACGGCGCTTGAATCGATCTTCGCAAAACTGAAGAAAATCTATAGATCAATGTGGCTCAAAATAACAGAAAATAGATGTCTATGGCTACGTCTTGGAGACACCATCACCTATTAGTGCAAAGAAAAAAAAGCTGCTGATCATAAAAGATTCAACGACTGCTTTTAAAATAGAACATTTATTTATAATATAATCTGTTAACATTACTACGTCATTTCAACAAAGAAAAAAACAAAAAGTGAATTTTATTCGATTACGCATCTGATTTTCGAAATAATGATGTAGAAAACGAAAGTGATTCTTATCAGCCAGTTAGTTTCAGTGAAGGCTTATCCTTTCAGGTCTATTTAAAGCGATATACTCAGACTCAGCGCCTGTTATGAACATATACTGATTGGATGATTCGTAGCAACGGGCCATTAATAACATATCTTTGCAGACATGATCATAACTTTTGCATGGGGTCTAGTCATAAGCTTAATACAGGCCCACAAAGTGCATGAAAACCAGATGAGCAAATGTCAGATATTTCTCAACAATCCGCCACAGGGCAAATATCTGGTCAGATGTGCGTTTATCTGACCTGAAGCCATACTGAT